AATATGTTAACCATCTAATACTAGAGTTTTGATACTTTTTTTTTTTTTGAAGAAAACCAACAATATATTCCAAAGAAGGCGAAACAAGCGGATACAAGGAGGAAAACCTCCAACACACGCTCTCCAAAGAGAGATAAAGTGTTTCCACAGCCCAAGTTAAAAAGAGATTTTGATATGCAAAAGTTACTTTTGAATCCCTTTAACTGATTTTCCGAAAATATTGTTTATAGTTAGAAGGGTTTTTAAATGAAGTTGATTTAATATGATTTCTTCTAAATGTACTTTCGAAATAGGAAACTCTTTTAAATATGATTTTCCAAATAAAAAATAAAATAATTTTCTTCTAAATCTCTTATACATTGAAACGAAAGTAAAAGTAAAGCCAAATGACCTAATTCTTGGCAGTCAGCACGACGGCTCGCTGTGCTCGGTGACTAAAGCCATATAAGAATGGGTGGGAGATTTAACGTAGACCCGTGAAGCGTATGGCAAAAGTGGAAAATGACAAAAATTCTGACACGTAGAAGTAGGCAGAACACTACACTAATGTTTATATTTTGTGTGGTTAAGATTTATGAAAAAATAAGAAAAGAAAGGGAAAGACATAAAGGAGGAGGCCAAAGTTCACATGGAACGGAAGTGGTGGTGGGAGTGTTGTGTTATGTGGGGGCCGCCTATTGTTTTTTTGCCCAAAAGCACTACATAACAGCACTGAATGTATTCCTTTTCAGTTTTAAATTAGTACATATATTTAGGGTACAAATCACACATTTAATTAGGCAAATATCTCACTCACTAATCAGACAACTTTTACATGTGTCGACGGAGTGCTCAATACATTACGTTGGCTGAAGGGGGTAGACCTCAGTGTTTGTGCCTTTGTGGGTTGGTCAGCGTATTTCAATACGTGAAATCACCCATTATACTTTAAATATTTCTTAAATAGTACCTTTTATGTCCACGCAAATATGGGAATTGAACCCGAACCCAAACATGAACTATCGGGTTAGATTTGTATCTATCCATAATTTTTTTTTTTAAAGAAAAATCTTTAGTTGACAATACAATTTTTTGGATTTTTTTTTAATATCTCACAAATATGCTATCAAATAGCATCCAATATATATAACCCGAGCATAAAAACTTAAATTACATGCATAAAGAACAAATAAAAAAAAAAAATAGAAATCAACAATAAAGAAGTACTATATTCTACAAATGTTAAAAACAACACAAATTCATTCATTCTTTCCATCCCATCGGGTCGTTGTATCAAGGTAAATAAATTGGAAAAAAATTCTTATAAAAATTGGCAAATTCGATTTCAGAGTTGGGTATTGACAATTACATTCAAGAACAAAAAATCAATGGGACCCGATTCGCACTCGATTCATAATTTGCTTTTCTGTATTAAGATTCAAGATGTTCAGCTCCGATTAAAATGTCTATCCTTAATAGAGGAGAGGATGTGGTCGTGAAGATGGTAAAATATCGAATTGATTAGGCTCGTTGGATGAACCCTGCTCGGCCGATGGCTATGCTCCTCTAGGGCTTGGCTAATCTAGCGGACAAGTTTCATATTCGTTTAGAAATAGAATTTACAAAAATTAATTTTTATTGTAACTTGAAAATTCATATTTTTATGTAGCATTCGCACTAGACATCTCATAAATAGTTAATTGATCTGGATTGGAATTAGTCATATTTAATATGTTTAACATGTTTCTTTTTCTTCCTTCTAGGGAGACTCTCCATTAACAGCAAACCACGTGTGATGTTTTGACCAATCGCAGTGACAGCTAAGAAATCCCAATCTAAATAATAAAAAGTTGTTCGTTCATTAATATATTTTAATACAACTACAAATATTACACACCGACACAGATGCAAAACCACATCAATCTCTGGTTTTATTTTGCTAAAAATAAGGTATTTAATAGATTTTATTAAAGTCGAGAAAATGTACAATTGAAAAATTATTAAAAGTTATGGGTCCCATAAAATGCACCATTAAAATTAATTATTATTTTTATTTAAATTTTTATCAACTTTTTTTAGTTAAATCAAACATGAACTAACTAATTTATGAAAATTAATTGTATAGGGTTCTTTGCCATAATTCAGTCCTGTGTAGATGTTAAACCAGGGGAGATGACCTAAAATTTAGGTGTTTTAAATATTTCTTTTTCCTCCCCCTCGCACAATCACTGTTTGACCTCAATTTCTAAATTTTTTTTTCGATCACACATTTTTTTAGTAAAATATTTTATACGTCCATACTTATTTTCCTATTTTTTAACCGTATATTCTACAAATATAAAATCATTTTCACAAAATCTATTTAAAAAAATCTATATCAAACATAGATCTAATTACTTTTAAACATGGCTAAATATATAACTCTCAACTAAAGCAAGAATCCTCGAATTGAGACGTTAAACTTAAACTTAAAGTAATGCTGTTCATAGTCGCTCACTGCAGCAGTCGCCGTATGTGACACACACATGACATGTAGTTATTTGATACATTAATATGATATTTTTTATCACATTAAATATACACTTGATATGAGTGTGTTACATATGACGACTGTTACAGTGAGCGACTGCAAATAGCATTATTCTTAAACTGAACATGAAGCAATAATTAATTGCACTCGGTAACAATAAAAGTAAAGCTTCTGTTTGTCACTTTCTTAATTTTCTTTTCTGTACCCAATAAAAAGAATTAAAAAAAATAAAAAATTACTTGCACACTGCTGCTTTTCCGTGTGTGTGCTTAAGTCGAGAGTGATTCAAAGCTATACATACAATTGTGTGTATATATACACACACACATTTTTCTCGAAAACTGCTGCTCTTAGTCCAAAGTAGAAATGCACACTTATTCAGTTTTCTCACACGCCAACTAGCCCACATTCACACACAGAGAGACGATTCATCTGAATTTGGGATTTCAATTTGACGATTTATATATGTTCTGAAGGCAAAATTGAGAGAGAAATATGAAAATGAACTCAGTTTCTAATTGGGTTTTGTTCATCTGCTTGTCGGTGTTTGTTGAATGTGTGCTGGTGCAATGTCGTGTGACATATGATAGAAAGGCTATAGTTATCAATGGGCAAAGAAGAATTCTCATTTCTGGTTCCATACATTACCCAAGAAGCACTCCTGAGGTACTCATTTTTTATTTTTATTTTTTTAAAAAATGAGAGATCTGTCTTTTTACTTGCATTTTTCTTGAAGAATCTGACTTCATTTTGTTAATGAAATGTTGTGTCTTCTAGATGTGGGAAGATCTGATAAACAAGGCTAAAGAAGGAGGCGTAGATGTGATTGAAACTTATGTATTTTGGAACGTTCATGAGCCTTCTCCTGGCAATGTACTTCACTTTCTCTTGGATTTACTTCAGTTATACTGTTTTTTGCTTTCTTTTTATCCCTTATCTTTGAGCTGAAAGTCTGTATTTTTGGGTATGCTCCTTCTGGGTTTTTCAGTACAATTTTGAAGGGAAATATGATATTGTGAGGTTCATAAAGACCATCCAGAAAGCAGGGCTATATGCTCATCTTCGAATTGGGCCTTATGTTTGTGCTGAGTGGAATTTTGGGTAATAATTTCTGTGCTTTTGCCTGGGTCTAATTGCAAGCATCCTCACCCCACCCACCCCCGCATATACATGCATATAGACACAGGTCTGCATATTTCGAAGGTCTATCCAAGTTATATGATATGCAAAAATTTTCAATTTTTTTCCCTTTTATTATTTGTAGAGGATTTCCTGTTTGGCTGAAATATGTACCAGGAATTAGCTTCAGGACAGACAATGAGCCTTTCAAGGTAAAAATTTCCCTCCCTATTCTAGTTCCTTTTGCGAATGCATCTGCTTTAAGTAACTTAAGAAATCCAATTAATGGGATTGCTTTAGAATTGAACAAAGCATTGTATTGAGTTGTGTTTGGTTAGTATAACTTCCTGTGAAAATTTTATATTATTTTATGGTTTGCAGATGGCTATGAAAGGGTTCACTGAGAAAATTGTCAGTCTGATGAAGAGCAAAAATCTATTTGAGTCTCAGGGTGGCCCCATTATACTCTCCCAGGTGTGATTTTAAGGCCTTTGGCACTTACATTTTGTTGCATTCTACCATTTCATTATCAGCTGCTTTGGCTACAGGCGTTTTAGCATCTCGCCTACTCAGAATTAACTTAATTATGTATTACTGTCCACCAAGTGTTTGTTTGGTATGTAGTACTCCACAGGACCGGCCAGTAAGAGCAATGATATTTTAGCTTCTTCTCTACTATCTATTCCTCCTTACAAACCTGCCATAAATATTGTTGCACAGATTGAGAATGAGTATGGGTCGCAAGCGAAGGCTCTTGGTGCTCCTGGCCATCATTACATGACTTGGGCTGCAAACATGGCAGTCGGATTGGATACTGGGGTGCCATGGGTGATGTGCAAGGAAGATGATGCCCCAGATCCTGTGGTAAGCACATTTTACACTCAGTTTTCACTTAAGTTTTGTTTCATTGGAATTTCTTAAGCCTTTCAAATTTAGAGCCTGTTTGGCATGACTTTTAAAAAACTAAAAGGAGCTTTTGAGACTCAAAAGCAGCTTTTGCACCCGTTTGACTAATTTTATGAAAGTGATTTTTCTAATTAGAAGAACTTTTAGAGGAAACTGGTCCGACGTGGCTTCCTTTAAAAGTTTAAAAATTAGTTTTCGAACAAAAATTAAGGTAACTTCCTCCTAAAACTCTTCTACATTAAACAAAAGTAAAAGTAAAAGTCATGCCAAACGGGCCTTAGTATCCTATTATTCATATGTAACAAGCACTAGACTGGCACTAATCGTGGTTAGGAAAGATTGCTTCAATGTTTCATCGCAAAGAACCAAAACCTGAAAGAAAACTAATTCTGTCTTGAAAAGTTGAACTTGAAATTTAACTTGAATGTGAGAATATGTTCTATTGCCCATGATAACTCTTCGCTGCTGGCAGATTAACACATGCAATGGCTTCTACTGTGACTCGTTCTCCCCCAACAAACCATATAAACCCATAATTTGGACTGAGGCTTGGAGTGGTTGGTAAGTGAACTTTTAGTTTCTCTACTTACTGCGGTAGAATTAGTTACTGGGTGCTCTCTAATTATATTCTTAACCAAACAATTAGGTTCACAGAGTTTGGTGGTCCAATTCATCAGAGGCCAGTTCAGGATTTAGCATTTGCTGTGGCTAGGTTCATACAAAAGGGAGGCTCATTTGTTAACTATTACATGGTTCGTTTCCAATTTCAATCATTTTTAGTCGTATCGTATACATATTTCTCATGTAAAAAACCTTGTTCACTGTGCTTGTTGATACAGTATCATGGAGGCACCAATTTCGGTCGCTCTGCTGGAGGCCCCTTCATTGCTACAAGCTATGATTATGATGCTCCACTTGATGAATATGGTGATTATAAATCTATTAATGCTCTGTTTTACACTTACTGTTATAAAATGTTATTAGTCTGAATGTATGGACGACAATCTTTCTCTAAGGCCAATGTATGGAAATATCTACCACCAATCACATACATATAAACATGGAAAATACATAGTTTTAATTTTTAAAAGATGGTTGCACATTCGATTAGATGTTTTATTGCTCTGAAATATATACTTCAAATTGTAGCAAAGGATTTGAGTTCAACATGGTACCTTTTTGAAAATTTCCCTCAAATTTTCTGTAATGGATAAGAAAGATAAGTTTCTGAAGCATCTTCATCAATTCATATAGCAGAATAACAAATGTGATTATTTCTATCAATAGTCCTTTTGCTGTTAAGTTCATAAGCCATGATGTGTTGTCATTATGATCATAATCTCCAACTTTAGTCTCACTTCCAATTACCAAGCAATTCTTCGTTAGACAAACTATTTCATCTTTTTAATTAATTAGCCACTATACACTAAGAGAATCTTCTTGTCAATGTATAGAAATATGGGTTTCAACATTTTTACTTCTTTTCAATTAAATAAAATAGCAACTATGCACTTAGAGGAAAAAAAGAGACCATTTTTAAGGTGTAGAAGGGATGAAGGGACATCTAATGTGTTTATTTTACACTAAAATGTGTATTCAAAATGATTTGATGAAATGCAATAGAACTTTGAAATGAACGATAGGCCTTTATTGCTATAAATGCATATATAGCATTTTGTACGAGACACTCTCTTAATATTAATACTATTAAGATTTTTTTTTTTTAAAAAAAGTAATAATTATGAGATATACGAGATAGTGACTTTCTGACGTTGAAGAAAGGTAATTAATAATAAATTAGTTATAAGATGTTGTTAAGCGATATACTTACATTAACTAAATAGAATCCGCTCTATATTATGATGCTCGCGTCTCCACTATTAAATTGTTTTTTACGTAATAACTGACTACATGCTATGCCTTTTTGGCTTGATAGGTTTGATTCGGCAACCAAAATATGGGCACTTGAAAGAGCTCCACAGATCTATTAAACTGTGCGAGCAAGCTCTAGTTTCAGCTGATCCTACTGTGACATCTTTAGGAAGCCTTCAACAGGTTTCTACTTTTACCCTTGAAATTGTTAGCTAATGCAATAGGTTTTATGGTAGTTTTTTACTTAAATGCCCTACATTTGCCAGGCTCATGTATACTCTGCAGAATCAGGAGGTTGTGCAGCATTTCTTGCAAATTACGATACAAAATCTGCAGTGAGAGTGTTGTTCAATAACATGCACTACAATCTTCCTCCATGGTCGATCAGTATCCTTCCCGACTGCAGGAACGTAGTCTTCAATACAGCCAAAGTATGTAAATTTTAATAAATAAATTGATTATGGGTTAAGAGCACAAAAACTGATGTTCCCTGAACTTTTATGGAAATTTCACGCCGGTCACTGAACTTGGAGGTTTATTATAATTTGATCATTCCATTCATGTCCATTAGTTTGACTGGAAAGGCTAACGTGACAGACTAGTTTGTAAATAAGTAGACTGCCGGTCACCTCTTCAGTTAGTCAACTAACGGACATTGACAGAGTGACTAAATAGCAACAGTTTAATATTAGTGACTTATTTGAAAACAATGATGTTCAATGACCAGTATGTAATCACACTAAAAGTTAAGTTACCACTGTATTTAACAGGTTGAATATACTATTTAACGTCTAAACCGTGTAGTCTAAGCAAATTCTCAGAAGCAGAATTCCTCTACACACCTCGTGCCACTGTTCTTTAATATTATCTCTCTCCCTGAAATGATAATTAGTTTGCATTTCTCTTTTCAACAGGTTGGGGTTCAAACATCACAAATGGAAATGCTACCAAGTAATGCCGAGATGTTCTCATGGGAAACGTTTAACGAAGATTTGTCTTCTTCTGAAGACAGCTCATCATTCTCTGCTCATGGCCTCTTGGAGCAGATAAATGTCACCAGAGATACTAGTGATTATCTATGGTACAAAACTAGGTGAGTTGAACCGAGTCAGCTGTGTGTCTTTCAACTTGCTATGCATTTGTTCCTTATAAAGTTTCCATGGATTGAATCTCCTGTCTTTTCATAAATTTTCTCTTCTTGCAACTTTGTTTACTTTCCGTGCAAAGTATCTCGAAACTTTGCAAATAGTTTGTCTAAAATACATTTATCGTTGTCCTAGAACTATTCAACAGTGTGCTTGTCTTCTATCACAATCACCATAAGGTGGTTAAAGCAAAATCTATCCAGATTACTTGACCTGGATTTATCTGCATGACATTGATACTAGTGTGCTACTGCAAAATTTATAGCATTATATAACAGTCACCATTCACATGTTTTTCAATGTGTTAACAGTGTTGATATTGGTTCATCGGAGTCCTTCCTGCATGGAGGGGAGCTCCCAACACTTATTGTTCAATCAACAGGACATGCTCTGCATGTTTTTGTCAATGGACAACTTTCAGGTTACCAGTCCAATCTATTGTCAGGGTTTAAGATGATTTTGGATTGCCCACTTTCATGTTTAAGCTAAGGTGTACTGCTACATTAATATGTTGTCTAGGTTCTGCTTTTGGGACCAGGCAAAACAGGAGATTTGCATTTAAAGGGAAGGTCAACCTACGTGCTGGATCAAATAAAATTGCATTACTCAGTGTGGCTGTTGGACTGCCAGTTAGTTCTAATCCATTTCTCTAATCTTGTTTATAGTTCGTGGATATATGTACGAGGAATTGATCATATATACTGAAATGATTTGATTACATGGTACTTAGAAGACTCATGTTTAAAACAATTCGAAAGGAGCAGTCAAAGCAAAAATTATGAACTGAAACAAGCTAAAGACGAAAATAGGATACCTATGATTCTGACTGGGCAAGTCTGAAGTTGTATTTTGAAGAGCTCTACGAAAGCTCATGGGTAATCAATGTTTAAGTAGCTTTATATGCCTTTAAAATATAAAATCAAGAGTTTGAAGTCACTTTAGAGGATCGTGTTATCCCAAAAAGTTAAATTTTTAGTATTCAAGTTCAATTATATTAGGACTTCAAAAAGGTTAGAATTAGAGCAAGTTGGATAAAATGGAGAAACACTCCTGGGATGATAGAAAGATATTGATAATGTTAAAAGGCAATTATTCATAATAATTATGTAGAACTTTTTTTGGGTACCGAGTATTTCTCTGCAGGCCACTAAAGGACAAAATATAAGATGGATACAGCAAAAACAGGATTTTAAGAATAGTGTGATGTCAGACTAGAATGGATAAGTTATGAAATGAGATATACGCAGAGGGAGTGATGATGGAGGATAAATTAAGGGATAGAGGACTTTGATGGTTAGATGATATATTGCATGTATATGAAGAGAAGGTCCCATAAGAATGGGTTAGAATGTGGAGATATCAAAATTGACATCGTCTATTATGACTGCAAAAAATGTAATTGCATTCTTACTGTTGGTATCTTCCCGAGCAAATGTAGAGCAGGACCAAACATAGTGACGGAACATTTAGGTATTTCGTCAAATTTCCTGAGAAAAACTATTTCCTTTTTTCTTTTGTGTGTGTGTAGTGTGTCTGCCTCTGTGTGTGTTGGGGTGGGTGGGGGGGGTGGGTGGGTCAGCATCTGTAACAAAGGTGTTTATTGTATATTGCTGAAATTTATTTATCTAGTCTGCAGATGTTTCTTCTCATTTGAACTCAGTTCCAATCTTGTGTACTTTCGCCTTGCCTTATGAAACTTTAGAAGATATGAGTGGGAAATGCATTTACATGTGGTTTCTATACTCATAAAAAAGTTTCCAACTGAATATCTGAGTTCATAAATTCATCCAGAATATCCTTTCCCTTTGTACTTTTGTTAAAAAAAAATTCTGATATTTATCTATCTTCATTAAAGAATGTTGGAGGGCATTACGAGCAATGGAACACTGGAGTATTGGGTCCGGTTGCGCTGCATGGACTCGACCAGGGAAAATGGGACTTGTCCTGGGCAAAATGGACCTACCAGGTTGTTTATCACACATTTCTATTACCAAGTGATTAATATTCGTTTCGAAAACATTCTCATGAATACATCCTAAGCAGGTTGGGCTTAAGGGAGAGGCCATGAACCTCAACTCTCCAAATGGTATCTCTGCAGTTGACTGGATGCAGGGTTCGCTGATTGCACAGAAGCAGCAACCTTTAACATGGCACAAGGTAATACTAATGAATATATTAATAAATCCTAGCAGCTTGTGGAAAAGAAAGCATTGAGAATGTGTGTAGGAAGGTTTGATAGTACTGGACAGTCATGTTCAAAACTACATACCAATCATGCATAATGGTATGAATTTATACGGTCTTGAACTCATGCAGGCTTATTTCAATGCACCTGACGGAGACGAGCCACTTGCTTTGGACATGAGTGGCATGGGCAAAGGCCAAGTGTGGGTTAATGGTCAAAGCCTTGGAAGATATTGGACTGCGTATGCCACTGGAAATTGCAATGGATGTAGTTATTCAGGGACTTTCCGGCCTCCCAAGTGTCAATTGGGATGTGGCCAACCAACTCAGAAATGGTAAGTCTTTGTGAACCTATTCTAGGATGTTTCAAACCAAACTAAAATAATTTGTTTCTAGTCACTGAAAAGAAATGGTTTTCAGGTACCATTTACCTAGGTCTTGGTTAAAACCAACACAGAATCTGCTGGTGCTTTTTGAAGAACTCGGGGGAGATCCCACAAGAATTACTCTTGTTAAGAGATCAATGACCAGTGTTTGTGCAGACGTGGCTGAGTATCACCCAAACATTAAGAATTGGCAAATTGAAAGTTATGGCAGAACAGAAGAGTTTCACAAACCCAAAGTTCACCTACGCTGTGGGCCCGGCCAGTCCATTTCTTCCATCAAGTTTGCAAGCTTTGGAACTCCTCTTGGAACCTGTGGGACCTTCCAGCAAGGAACTTGCCATGCTCCTTCCTCATACACCACCTTAGAAAGGGTATTTCTCGTTCCCCTTTCTATTGCAAAAGACTTGATAAGAATATATAGCCTCTTATATATAACTTATATCATCATTCTCATCATGCAGAAGTGCATTGGGCGACAGAGATGCACAGTAACCATATCAAATAGTAACTTTGGGCAAGATCCATGTCCCAACGTGTTAAAACGGTTATCAGTAGAAGCAATATGTGCCCCTTTGACTTAACATGCACACTAAAAGCTAAAGAAAGACGAAAAGAAGTGAGAGAGAATAAACTGTAAACACAGGAAAGTATGTTAGATTTATGAGTGCACTTATTGAGCAAAGTTTAGGTAGTGTTAAGTTATAGGGGTGCCCAAGGATATCCCCCTACATTGTTATGCTTTAGATAGTTCAGTTTGTAGATTCAAGGGATTCCAAATGGAGTTCCATTATGGATCTCGACCCGGGTCTGTTTCCCATTTTAACAGGAAATGTGAAACGGGATTGCTGAAATTTCTATTGTTGAGTTGATTGCTTGAATGTTAGCTTGATTGTGTTGTCAAGGGAAGTTAAAACCCTGAATAGGTTTCATGGTAGGAATGGATCCTAGTGTGAAGTTTCCCCTTGATTATCTATATTTTGTGCAGTGGGTGAAAATTAACTAGAATTTCTGTATTTTCATCCTGAGTAATTTCTGTATCTTCAAAGGATTGTAATTCTTATTGAAAAGTAATGATATATTGAAAAATATAAAGATCCAAAGTATTAGATAACATCAATATTTGACAATGAATGTTAACCACAACTACAAGCAGTATTACATAACAGAGTTATCCATGCATGGATTTTGGACGAGGAAGAAACAACAAAACTAGCAGACAGGCAAATTATATAGTACTTCAATATTTATTCAAACCAAGCGTAAAAGATTTTGAGTAAAACTTTGGTCTAAAGTAGACAAATTAAAAACATAATTTAGTTTTATACCCTACTGATATAAGATAGAGATTAGGCAGTAGTCACGTGTTTTGCAATGGTCTGCTGCAGTTCTTCTTTCTTGGCCCCAACAACCTTGTCCACAAGCTTACCTTCTTTGAGGAACATGAAGGTTGGCATTGCCTCCACTGCCCAATCAGTAGCAACTGACTGCAATATGATTACAAAATCATGTTTGATTTCATGATATTAAACGGTATCAAACACTATAATATCGAAGATTTTAATTTTCTTTACCTTCAATTCGTCCACGTCCACCTTCAAAAAGGTAACGTTGGGCAATTTCTTAGCCAGCTCTGCAAAGAATGGAGCGATGAAACGACAAGGTCCACACCATGAAGCAGTGAAATCTACAACTATCTGCAACAGAAGCAATTGGATAAGTGCCGGGAAGAGACTATGAATCAATTTCCCAAGTTTAAGTTCACTATTGAATAAAACGAAAAAATACACTGGATCTGCATCTGCAGTTCAAATAAATTCTATATATTTATTTATACAGAATAAAATCAATCCAAATCGAATGAAAAATGGTATAATCAAACATCCAGGAAAAATTAAATAACACTCATCCTAAAATATAATACAGAGAAGGAAAAATCCATGCTTCAAATATCTCAATTTTAATTGAAACCAAGTTCAATCACCAGTATAATATGATTCAAAAAAATATACAAATTCGATTACATTTACATCTAAAATCACCTCAATCAGGAAAAATTGCACACCAAACAAACGCAACAAATTGATTCAATGAAACTCCAATCAGATCAGAGAAAAAACGTTACCATTTATTCAAGCCAACGCAAAAAATAAAAATTAATAAATTAAAAATCCCGATACAGAAATACAAAAAGATTATAACACATGAATCTGAAATCCACCAATAAAGCAAACCCATAAAATAAAAGCCACCCTCAACGAATCTTAAATGAATTGAAAAAAAAAATTAACATTAAAAAATTAAAGTAAGGAAACAAATTTACCAAATTATTGGAATCGTTTCCCTTCGAAATATGTTCATTCCAGGCCTCAATGGTGTGGCAGCCGAACACTTGTCCCTCTACCTCCGTTGCCATTTCTTCTCCTTTTACGTTAACAGAAAATTAATGATTCTACGGAAAATATATGTGGAAACTTGTCGCACAAGAAATGCCTTGATGCTTTTCTTGTTAGCAGTGGCCTCCAAATATATAGGAGAGCAATGTAGGAAATAGGCTTCAATTGTCACTTAATTACAAATTTACCATCACGTAAAACAAGGGGCACCAGCTGTACGAATATACTATCATTGTGGTTTTATTTATTTATTTTGTCCTTTTTCTTACTTTATTTATTTATTTTGTCACGTTTTGAACTTTATTTATTGTTGTGTATGTGGCGGTTGTGCAATTGTTGGGTGAGTTCTGTGATGCTGTGGGTGCGATAGCAACGATCTAGCCGTAAATGATGGGGGTTTGGCCGGATCGGTGGCATCGTGATGGTAAGATGGGGTTGGGGGTGGTGGCGGTGGCGGTGTGCTACTGTGATGCTGTGGCGGTTGTGCAGTGGTTGGGTGAGTTCTATGATAATGTGGGTGCAGTGGTGGTGTCGGGGCGGTGGTGCTGTGCGAGGTGATGGTGTTGTGGTGCAGTGGTTTTGATCTGTAACCCTCGCGTGGTGGTGGTTCGCAAGTGTTGTGCAGTGGTGGTGTTTGATGGCGATACTGTGTGCAATGTCGTGGCGGTGGTAGTGGGTAGAATGAGACGGGGTGGGTATCTGTGACCGCCCACATGACTATTTTGTAATCAATTTTGTACAAAATTTTGTACAGGTAGAATTATCCAATAAATAATATGTGACCTAAAAATTGTGATTGTGACTCAATTTATTAAGTTGTAATCGAGTTGTGACTAATAAAGGTTTTAATTCGTGATCGAGAAATAACCGTGACCTTAAAATTCTTAATTTGTGATTAGGAAATAAATTGTGACAAAAAAATAATGTGATCTAAAAAATTGTTAATTTGAAATCGATAATTTGATAATTTGTGACTGTCTAATAAGTCGTGACATTTAATGTTTATGATTTGTGACTGATAAAAAAATTGTGACCGATAAAAGTTTTTGATTTGTGACCTATAAAAATTTTGATCTGTGACTGATAAACAAATCGTGATCTATAAAATTTTTTAGTTGTGACCGTAAAATAATTTGTGATGTAAAAAATTATGATTTATGATCGAAAAATAATATGTGACTAACTAAATTGTGAATCTGCGACCATATTATATAAATCTGCGTTGGAATCGGAAGCAGTCGTTGGAATCGGAGCAGTCATTGGAAAGGTCTTCGAAACGATTGTCGGAGAAGAGTGGTGGTCGGAATAGTCCCCAAAGCAGTAGGGGTGGTGGAGGTGGAGGTGGGGTGGGGTGGATTAATTATATTATATTAGAATTAAATATTTAATAAATTTATTTTATAATTTATTAATTCATAAATAAAAATTTTTAAAAATCTGATTTTTGAAATTTGAAACTTGTTTTCTTATTTTTGAAATGACACATACTTAACATCTTAGAAATGAAATTCTCCCTAATTCAATATTGTACGAGTCCAAGAGAACTCCACCTTACCAGGAACAATAAATAACTCACGAAGGTTCTAACATAAAAAATAGTATGTCACAAATTCAACTGATTTAATTGCACATTTGGACAATGAGAATCTTAAATCAACAATAAAAATGGATATATGTAGGTTTAAGAGCTCGACTCGATTATAAGTTCTTAGTCACACTGAGGTAAACCAACAATAAAAATGAGAATCTTAAATCAACAATAAAAATGGATATATTCGCTATTTCACAATTTTTTAAATTAGATGAAAATGGATAGAAATGATGGTTTGCGCTATCAAATGTATAATTAAGGGAAAAATGTCAAAAAAATAAAAGGTATGAACTTTTTTTCATTAATAGTGAAAGGTAGGAATATTATGTACTAATTACCCTTTTAATAATTTATTTGAGACTCATTTGCACTTTTCAAAAAAAGTTGAGATTATGTTTGCAATTAATTTTTTTCCTTTATCCTTTTGTTTTATTTAAAATGAAGGGCATTTTCGTCATTTCAAAATTTTTAATTGAGAAAATGGATTAAAAGAACATTTTGTGCAATGAAAGATGGAAATATGGTGAAAATGTTAAAAAATGAAAGGTAACGACGCTTTACACAATAACAGTGAAATGTGGCGACGTTACGTGCTAATTAACCTTTTTAAAATATCTACTAATTCAGTTTGACGAAGCATATTTAGAACATATTAGTTGTAGATAATTGAAAAAATTGAATGCAAAATCGATTGCACAAATCAGAAGGAAACTTTAAAAGGATTTTCAGAAACAGAGAGCCTCCTCAGAGTCTGCAATTATGTTTTAAACGCACTAGTAGTACATTTACACAGAAACGAAACGATTTGACATGGTCTCTACAGAGGCAGGCTATGAAGAAGCTTGCGAAGTTGACTCACCCGGCGATGGATCCAAGGAATTGGGTAATCAGCACAGGCAGCTCTTGAGAACAGGCGAAGAGCCAAGGCCAATTGCAATTGGTTACTCTCCTCCGTCTGCCGCGCCTAGCTCTTCGAAGACACGAGGGCTTATTTCCTTATTTGGTAGTGAAATGGAATGGGCCAATGGGCGTCTCTTCAGACCATGTGTTGTGGGGTTGTAGAGTTTTTGAGAGCTTGTGCTACAAATTGTCTCTCTTTTTTTGCCCATTTTAGAAGAATTGGGATCGTTGCACAGTGTCACAGCCACCATTGTTGACTTGTTTCTCTCTTGGTGGCCCCCACAATTTTAAATATAACGGTAACAATTCTTATTTTTATGCTGAAATGATGAGAAACGAATAGATACATAGTTGAAAACTTTATGCACAAATAATATTATTCTGATTCGAATTACGCATCCATTTATCAATTTATCTCTACAAAAATATCTGTACAAGTAGAATAATTGAAAACTTTAACCTTATTTTGTCATTTGACAATGATTTTGCCATTTTTACATTAAAAAAAATGTACATAAGCAATTACTAAAAATGATGTGGAGGGAAAAAATTTGATAAAAAAGTTAATTGAGTAAACTGACAAATGGTAAAGTACTATCTGATACCAAATAGGCGGAGAGACAGCAACCTACAGCAAATCACGGTATTCTAGCCCACACACAGCCTCACTGGGCTTCAACAAAGGGCCTGAACATGAGGAATATAAGATC